GGTGATTTTGACCACTATCTCGTGTAGGTATTACATAGAACATAATATATATCAAAATACCATGGGGATAGTTGTGAAGGAGTCATTTATTTATTTGTTTTATGACTACAGAAGAGTTATTTAAACAATTAACAGTTAATATTTTATTCATTAAAATGAACATTAAAATTATATTAATCATAATAATGAAATTTTTTTTAATAATAAGAATTATTAAAAGAACTTCAAACTAAGAGGTTCACTAGTCTAGACCATGGACGGTTGGCCCAGGCTGTAGTTTCCTTTATTTTTATGTTATCAATTTCTTATATTTTTATACATTTACAAATGTCTTGTATTCATTTAAAACTAATTATTTGATTAGACGTCATTTATTATCCTTTTTTGAGTTATTTTATTAAGATCTGAATAAACATTATTGGATATTAATGTTCATTGATGAGTTATTAATGACATTATTCATTTTCATTTTTAATAATTATTCTTTTGTCATGCATACAATATTTTTGATGTATGATAACATTGAAATTTCTATACTGTTACTACTATATAAGTGATTTAACAAACAACTATATCATCTAATCGTAGACTGCATTACATAATACTTCTATATATTTATATATAGGGTGTTCAGTAAGTAAGGAAACGTGTTCCTGTTGTTCTCATTGTTTGAAACAATTAACATGTTTCCTTACTTACTGAACACTCTGTATAAATCAATGAACAGAAATTGAGTTAATCTTAACTCGGTAGTTTAATTTGTTAGTAACTTTTTGGTTTGTCGATTTCATGAAAATGGATGTTTTTTTTTTTACATATATAATGTTACCGTGGGTACCTGACCACAAATTATTAATCAAAACAATATTGATTTTGTTTTGATCTATTATTAGTAATTAGTAGTAAGAATACACAAATTATTAAATAAACAATCATTAAGTTAATAATTTTTATTTATAATTAATAATCTTCATTTACTCTCGTTATAATAGGAATTAGTTTGGATTATACAATTTTTACTACTTTGGATTTATCAAAAGTGCTTGTCTTTTAATAAATTACTTTTAATTTTTAAACTTAAAATTTTAGCCTTTAAACTAATTTTTTGTTATTTTACTTATACCCTTCTGGTTCAAGTGCCATATAGAGACTTATTTATTATGTCTGTTTTAACTAATATGTTTGTAAAAATATCACATCAGTGTGTTTTCTCGAGATTTAACATCAAAATCATTACATTCAAAATTTAATTTCAGTGTAAATCTTTTTATAATTAGTGATAAGATTTAATACTGTAGTAATCTATAAAAATAATCATGTTTATAGTGTGTACAAATTTATTTGTAATTCAGTTCTGAAATGCGAATTTTTGTAGGTTATACAGCGTTAATAATTATAGTGTATTGAATAAAAGTAAAATGAACTTATCGCCAAATAATTTTTAATATGTAGTATTGTTTAATTTGCTTGCAACATTATTTTCTTGTCCTTAATTTATATTACATAATTTATTAAATTCAAAAAAATGTTCTGCACATACATTCGTTATAATATATAGACATAATAAAACAAGCTTACATTAATATAATAAATTCTTATTCTATAATTTACTATTATTTAACAAGAATTAAGTAATATTAGGACTNTTCTGCACATACATTCGTTATAATATAGAGACATAATAAAATAAGCTTACATTAATATAATAAATTCTTATTCTATACTTCACTATTATTTAACAAGAATTAAGTAATATTAGGACTTAACACAAATCTTCCAACTGTTTTATGTCACTATTCCTACGCAGTAATGGTAATTTTTCATCGATATTAATAAGTATTGCTATGAATAATAATTATTAAATTAAATTAAATTTAAATTAATGTAAGGCCTTTATTATATTAAACTCTACAATAAAATATAGTTCTTGTATGTAATAACTAAGATCAATATTACAAGTTAGTTTATCTTTTTAAGAACGATAATATTGCTACAATTTATTTAAGTTATATGAAGTATAAAATATTTTCTAAAAAATAAAAATATTCTAGTTTTTAAGTTTTTATACAAAATTCTTTCTTACTCTCTGTAAATGATTGAAAATGAAGTTTTTAGTTGTTGCACTTCAATTCTTTACGCGATTACCTCTTTGAAAAAAAAAATGAGATTAAATTATAAGTAAATTAAATTAATTAAAAGTTCTAATATTTATTCTAGGTTATGATTATATATATATATTTTTTTTGCTTAAGTTGTGACATACTGCTGACTGTGTTATTTACAAAAATCGTATCCTTTTGTAGACAACCATTTATCATATGTAACTAATAAGTTTGTTTTAAAAATTTATCCTACATCGGTTTGAATCGACAGTGATATTGAACTGTTACGTAAATTCATAGTTGTCATTTGTCAATGCAGAACTCCGCTGTAATAAGTTACTTAAGTGTTTATGAAAAAGTAACGTTGGCAATTATTTAAAAATTCAGCATAATTATTTTTCGGTTGTGTTTGTAAAACATTCTGAATTTCAGTGGTTGAGGTTATAAAGGAACACTGGCCAATTTTTTATCAACATGAAACTAATGGCACACTTTTTACACTTAACAATTATGTTATATATTATAATATTGAACTCGGAAGAAATATTTTAAAACTTTTTAATAATATACAATTATTGCTTCTAATTTTTATTAAAATAACTTTTTGGTTGTTATACAGTGTTTTTTTAAAATAAAAAAAGTTGGACATAATTGATACAAGCTAAAATTTAGCCTTCAAGGACAAAAAAAGTCCAGTTTTATGTTTTTTAAAGTTGCTAAATCCAAATCTGATACTATTTTTATGATATTTTACTTTCATAAAGGTTTGAAGGCATAATTTATATCAAAATTTGGTATTTTTAGAAACTCAAAATTTAAAATTGGTATTTATTTAATTCTCCACAAAAGATAAATAGTTTTAACTTTACTTAAGCAACATAAAAACGACTCATAAAGTTATCTAATTATTAGAATATTAATAATAAATAAGCTCAGATCCAGTTATATTATCCATATTATGAAGTAATACCAATATAAAAAAATCAATAAATGATGATTTATGTAAATTATTTATAATTGGTGAGAAATAAAACATTTCTATGAAATATATGAGTTGTATAAAAAAAATTTTTACTCTTAATCTGGTTTTCATTGATAAGTCTCTAAAAATCAAATAATCTGTTTTATTTATATGTTTTATTGTCATTTTTTTTAAACTATAGCTTAACTAAAGTAAAAGAAAAATAAAAAAACAAATTCAAATTATGAAAACAAAAAATTGAAGTTAGCCCAAAATTTTTATAAATTGGAACACTGTGTGTAGTCTGAGAAAAAATTACAGGATATACAATCCAATTTTCTGATAAATTGTGTAAAATATTAGTCTATTATAGACTAAATTAATTGTGATAAATGGAATTAGAAAACCTAGTTGAAGTAGTATTTTTGTACTGTGAATTACTAATTACAAATATTGGATGGATTGGATATGCTTCTTATCCAGTTGATTACACGTTCAAATTAACCGACTTGTCGTGCATCATTAGAGTACAAAAGAAAAGTTAATTAATGGTATGAAACAGTATACTGGATCGACGGCTTAAAGAGTTGGGATAGTCCAACACACGTTATACCCTGTTAACGATGTGATTGAAAAATAGTGTAAATAACTTGATTTTGTAATTAGAAACCAAAATACAAGCATTAAAAAAGTATATTCTCTCTAACGTTTTTATCACTAGTAACTTTATATTTTGGCCTTTTTGTTAGTTGTTATTCCAAACGTGAAAATCTAATCATATTATATCAGATAAAACTAGACGTATCATATATTAGCTATTGAAATGGAAAAATGTTATTTATAATGCAAAAAAAAAGAATGTATTCACATTCTTATTTTTTGAGTTTAAAATCGAATGTATTCTAAATTCATTTTTTTTTTCAAAAAAATTAATTCAAATTCGCATTTACTAGAAAAGAGTACATTAATGATGACATTTTATGAATTTTCTTTATGTAAAACAGTTATTAAACTTCTTAAGCATTAGTGAATGTTAGGGGCTTAGGGGCTTAGTTCTTTAAAATTTCCAGAAAAATTGTATATGTTAAATAAAAATCCCAGTACAGTGATGAAGTGGCTTTAGTTGAGACGAGTCTAAATGACATCTCATAGTTATTAACATCACTACCATAAAAAATACTTAAATATGAATATGTTCCACTATAACTTGCAAATTTTTTTACATGTATGAGTAGTTTCTTTTAAACCCTTCCTGTACTTAGGTTTTTAATTTAATTTTTATAAAAAATATAACTAAAAAAGCTCATTGTCTTTAGTATACTCTACTGAGATTCATTAGGATCAGTAATTTTTAAAATAAGTTACAGCAGTATTGAAATAAAGAAAGAAATTTTGATACATGTCTTTTTTGACGTTATAGTAGTTTAAATATATTTTTATACATTTTTTAAATCGAGTGTCTATTTCAATTTTCGGCGACGATAAATTCAACTAGATTAAAATCAGGTTTTTTAACGTATTAAGCATTTAAATCTGTCCGGTAAAAGCCTAGAATTTTCATTGGCAGACAAAAAAACACGCACCATCACAAAACCAATACCTACTCACTGAGTAGTACTCAGCTATGTATCGAAGTTAAACAATATTTTTCCACTAGAGAAGGTCAAAACTTAACTAATTTAAATTGGAATCAGTTAATAATATATTACCTGTAATAATGTTGATCTTTTGGGATATATTACAGTGTAATATCATGTGTTGGAAACAATATAATTTTCGAGATTGTTTCAATTATTAACACATGTTTTCTTTTAATGTATTATTTAAGATTATAAGTTCATCATAAATGTAAATAGAAATATTTTAAATATTATTTATATTTATCTGTAGTATAAAAAAAAAAATTATCATGTTAAAAATTTGTAATTTTGTTATAGAAAGAAAACTTTTTATTGGCATGCTGTCAAAAAAAATATCAGAACCAGATATTAGACTAATGTTTGAACCCTTTGGGCCTATTGAAGAATGTTCTGTGTTACGAGATCCAAATGGTGTTAGCAAAGGTAATATTATTATTAATCATTATATAATTTACATAAAAAAGAATAAAATTTCTTATGTGGTGTCACAAAAGTTTTAATTTTCATATTTAAAATTAAAGTATCTCTATTCTTTTAATATATATATATACTTAAGAAATTACCTGTAGTGGTTTGTATTATTTGCACTATCTTATTTACTTTCATAAAATAGTTTTTAGTTATGTCTCTTTAAGCACCTTTGAGTTCTCACTAATGTGTGTTTTAACTTACCCTTTGGCCATGATTAAACATAGTCGATAAAGCTTTATATGCTTAAACTTCATTATCCATAACACCACTGGAATTGAGTATAGTCTAAAATTTATAAAGTTCCGGAGGGGCCTTGCCTAACTTTTTTTTATCAAGTAATGAAACCTTATTACATATTAGTCTCACAATAATTTTCTTTTCACCATTACTCTTAAAAAATTAGTATATTTTTTAGATTCAGCATTGAAAGTATTTAATGTACATTAAATAGTAGACAATTTTTAAAAAGTCTACTCCCATTATGTATTAACAACTAATATTGTTTTCTATTCATATAATTTATATGTACAGCTTGAACTTTGGTTATAAAAGATAATATTTGAATTTCGAATTACATTTTTTGTTCAACATGGGGTTATGCAATTATTATACTGATGTCAACAAATATTTATGCCAATAAATTTATTTTTCTTCATACTTTATTTCATATAAAAAGATACTTTCTTTTGATCTTTTAGGCTGTGCGTTTGTTACATATACAACGAAACAAAATGCCATCGCTGCTATTAAAGGTATGCATCATTCACAAACTATGGAAGGCTGCACATGTCCTTTGGTGGTTAAGTTCGCGGACACTCAAAAAGAAAAAGATCAAAAACGCATGCAACAAATGCAAGCAAATCTTTGGGGTTTGGCAGCCACCGGCAACAATGTTCCCACAGCTCAGTATCTGGCCCTAGGCGTTTTAGCTAATCAACAAATAAACGTGAGTTTTTCATTATTTTTCAATTGAAAAATTAAAGTGAATGTTTATTGGTAACTTTGTTCAATATTTTGTATTGAATGACGTTACAAATGTATGTGTTTAATAAAAAGAAATCCCTCAAACGAATAGTTAAGTGGATATTTGTGTATGTGTACAATCGTATGATTTGAATTTTGTCGTTTAAATTTATGTGATTTCAAACTTAATAACAATAAACCTAATTTAAATACAAACATCATTGTTTTTGTCAAAGATATCATCACTGTTCGAAATCATTATGAAGGAAATTGATTTTTCGAATAACGCTGTTTTTTCGAAGGGCTACGTCAGAAATTGTATTACCATCACAAATTGCATTTAGCTCGTCTACTTCTTGACACCCGCGAGAAACAGCAAAACGCGCCAATTACACGACGAGGATCGTTTTCTAATTAGGCCAAAAGCTGTAGCGTTATTTGGTGTTATTTTATGAGTTTTATTAAGTTACATTGCACGGTCTCCTGCGTGAAAATGACATTGTAACAAACTTGTAACGACTCAAAGGAAAAGTCATTCAGAGAAACTTTTCAAAACATCTGCAGTATAAAATCTCTTTACTCTTGGTTTAAAAATATAAGAACTTAACAGGTTCACTGTGCAAACTTGTATATATCTCGTGTATTGTACCATTGTTAACAGCTAGCGAATAACAATAATAATTATGCGAACAATCTACAGTTTTTTTATTAGATATCTCAAAATGAATATTTAGCAGCGGGGACGAAAAATCAAGACCATTTTTCAAATCACAAACTTAATTGAGTCAAGGATTAAAAAATTATTCCAGTTATTCCTAATTTTTTCCATCATAATTGTATAATTTATTCAAGGAAAATCTCGGTGCTTTCACGTTTTATAATCTTTCACAGTAGTCTGAAAACTTTTGCACCTTCAACTTTCACCTTTACAGAAAGTTCCGCATATGGATTACCCCTTTTCAACATTTCCCTAACGACACCGCTCATCCCGTTTTAAATATGTAAATATTTCTGTCTCAGAAATTTTATACCAACGCCGCATTTTAATGATTTCTCTGTACATTTACAAACGTTACGTTTCCCCATTTTTACCTCATTTTTCTACAATAAATCTAGTTAACTGGCGTATTAAAATTTTATGAACAATGTAGTTAATTAAACTTGATCATTTGAAAGATTCATTAATAAGATCATTTTCGTTACGTCTTATTCAATCAATTTTTTATCAGGCGTTTTATCAATCGCCTTTGGTAATGTAGAAACCTATTTAAATAAAACAACTTAATATTTGTCTCTAAAAAAAAAATGCATTTAAGAATGTCTTTTTATGGAATTTTATTCAGTACTTATTAGATTTTAAATGTTTATAATTAATAAAAACATAAATTACATTAATTGAAAAAAAAAATTGTAATTTCAGAGTGATACAAATTCATTATCTTCTCAAGTGCTTCAGCAAATTCAACTGAATGCTGCGGCTGCGGCTGTTGCTGCAAACAACAATACAAATCAATTGAACAATTTGCTTCTCTCAAATAATACAGGTAACGTTTTCTCAAATAAATTTTTCTATTGAAAATATGTTAAAATTATTTCTCTCCTATAAGTGTAATACAATGTATGCACAGTACCGCGCAAAAGTTTGGATACATATAACCAAATGATTATTTTTCATATTCATTAATTTTAATAAAGTTTATCAGATTAAAAATGTAGAACATAATTTTAACTTTTTCTTAAAATCTTTCACGTACTTTTCAAAAACCTAATCAAAAAATACAAATTTAAGAATGTTTACTTAAATCCTATACTAAAATTCTTCTTAATGTTGAGCATATTCTAATTAATCTTAAAATACGATGTATTCATTACATTTATTATAATGTTCATAATTTCTATTAATTTTTCGTTGCGTAGCTCTGAAACTAGTCGTTTCACACTGCCACACCAATTGGTTCGATTTTGATTCACAATATGTCAAAAGATTACAAAACATATATAATTAAATTTATTAGTTCCATAATTTCGAAAAGTTCATCCTAAACTCGGTAATGAAGGGAAAAGTTCCACAAAATTATAGTCGTCATATAACAGTCAATGTTAATATTTTTAGTATACAGGGTGGCCCACCACTCACTGACAACTTAAATAACTTTTAATCCAGTTAATATTTTTAGCTGATTTTTTTTTTTAATATTAGTTAGACGTTAGGTCTATAGCTATATCTCAATAATTAATTTTTTTACATTTTATTAAAAATATTAATTATTTTTAAATTTTAAATAAAATGTAAAAAAAAAATCTAAGATAGCTATTTTGTAGAGTAGAATTTAAGAAAAATTTTAGTAAAAAAATATCTTATTAATATTCAGTAGTAAATATTCTGTAGCGTTTTGAAGTTTGTGAAAATTTGAATTTTCATGTACTATTTTACGGTATTAAACATTGAAATACGTATTGAGAAAAGGACAGAAGAAAACGCTATCTTTTCAATATACTTTTGAATGAGAGTGATAAGTAATAATTGCCTTATCTAATTTCTTATCATGGTATTTATGCCAAGTTTGTAATGTATACACACTATCATCATATGTATACACAGTAATCATGAAAAGATAGCGTTTTCTTCTGTCCTTTTCTCAATACGTATTTCAATGTTTAATACCGTAAAATAGTACATGAAAATTCAAATTTTCACAAACTTCAAAACGCTACAGAATATTTACTACTGAATATTAATAAGATATTTTTTTACTAAAATTTTTCTTAAATTCTACTCTACAAAATAGCTATCTTAGATTTTTTTTTTACATTTTATTTAAAATTTAAAAATAATTAATATTTTTAATAAAATGTAAAAAAATTAATTATTGAGATATAGCTATAGACCTAACAACGTATAACTATTATTTAAAAAAAAAATCAACTAAAAATATTAACTGGATCAAAAGTTATTTATGTTGTCAGTGAGTGGTGGGCCACCCTGTATACTGTATATTGAAATAGCTTTTTTAAAAATGAATAGATAATCGTGAAATATGCATTGACAATACTTCAGACATTTTTTTTTTTTACTGATGAATTTTTTTTATAAATCCAGTTAATCAAAAAATCAATCAAAGTACTGGAAGGGGCTAAATCATAACATTTTTTTTTTTCAAATTATGATAATCCTCCGAAAAATCTTTAAACGTACATTAAATTACAGCTAATAAAATGTACTTTAAGATTAAAAGGAAAAACTGCCCGAAATCTAGATTTCTAGGTTTTATCGGGCATAAAGTCCAAAATCTAAAAAATTATATAATTCTCAGTAAAAAAAGCTAGTTTTGAAGTGTTTTTCGTAGTATCGGTACATACTAGGGAGTGGTCTCTAATAAACTTAATTTTTCACAAAAAATTGTTCCTAAAAATTACTTAAAATCCAAAAGTTACAAATTTTGTGCTTGAAGAGCACAATACGAGCATCGTCGTCGTCTAAGATAATCCCAAAAAAATAAAATGTATATTAAAATTTGGACCCTATTAAAATTTTTTTAAAAATATGTATGTTATATGTAAATGTCAAAATAAATAGTCCGTTTTTATTAAATAGACTAAAATAAATAACTTTTTCTTATGTGTATTCAATCTTTTGTCTTTTATTGCAAATATGTTATACAATTATATTTCGTCAAAATTATTCAATTGCATTTTAAATTCGATATTATTCAATTTAGAGTTAAATTCATAATTAATCTCTAACTCGGCTAATGCTTCATTCAACTAAAACTAATTGTGCATATCATGTATTGAAAGTATGTATTATCGTCACTTATTCATACATTACTCAGTCATTTCTACGATAACTCATTAAGCGTTCTCATTATCGACTTTTGTGTTTGTTCCTATCGACAAATTTTTACCAACTCCGTAAAAAAAGTAACTTCAGTGATTTTAATTATTTAATTTCATCAACGTTTTTCTGTGAAATGTTGAGAAAATGATATCTAATTAATTTTTTACAACGTTTTTTCTGGTTGCATTGGATAATATTATAACTATCTTATCTTTAACCGGATATAGGGGCGTAAGTTGGCCATGTGATGTGTCGTTTTACCCATAATTTTATGTTAACGTTTATTTTCGGTAGTACCATCATGTGTTAATACACATGTTAGAACATGTAGGCGGATATTAATTTATTTTCATTGATTATATCACAAGTAGTTATTTGATATTATTAGTCATAGTCTAAATCGTTTCTAATAATTAAATATTAAATTAATTACTCTATTATTTACTTAACACGTCTACAATATTCACATATTGCTCGTGAAATCTCTTTCCAGAAACGTAAAAAAATTGGATTAATGTGCATTTTATTCTACTAGATTAGTCAATGCTGCTAGAAGTAAAAAAGGAGTTTAATTTTGAATATTTAACTCAAATAACTACTCTTAAATTTCATTTTACACGATTTAGTACACCCACCTGACCCGTGCAAAAATTAACTGTGAAATCGGGTTTCTAATATTGTGAAAATTAATTAATTCAGTGTGTGTGTGTGTGTGTATGTGTATGTTGATCCTAAATTCAGGTGCACTCAAATCCCAGTACCATATCCAAACGTCCAATTATCCCTTAAGTTTAGATACCGTCTCACCGCGACGAATAGATTACAACACCGATGCTTTCTATGCAGGATACCAGAATCTGTCCGCGTCGCCGCCTAGTCTGGGAGACCTGAACCCTGGTAACCTGCAAAACCTGTCGACGTTGGCCAACCTTTCCGTGGGAAACCCAAGTAAGTATATACCAATCATTAATAATTACATGCATCAATTCGCATAATATTAAAACATTAATCTACTTTACCGTCATAAATTTCTTTTGAAGTATTTTTAGTAAATAAATACTATGTGGGTATTCGAAGGTATTTTTAATTAAATTTTCTGTACTATTATAGTGACCCTCCTATTTACGTGGTCCAACGTTGTGTTTGCGTTAGCATTGTGTAAAATCTAATTAAACGATTTATGTGCTTTTTATTTAACCTGAACGATGTGTCTCAAGAGAACAATGCATAATGAAAAAAATTATGACTATCCTATTAACGTACTTATTTTACATCAAATTTCTCTGTTACAGCCTATACGAAATTTCATATGCTTTTATGTAGTTAATAAGTAACTATATAACTATACTATACAGTTAAATTATACCGAGTGATCCGTTTATCATAACCCGCTCGATTAATTGTAAAACAAATAAAATATTAAAAAATGCTTTTTATTTTATCATTTATATTTTTTAATATATCAGCTATTAAATACTTTTGAGGCATTCCTTATGACTTAAAAGTGAGCCGGCTGAATTTTTTTTAACTAGCTTATAAAATAGTAAATAATTAAGAACATGACGGATCAATAACAATTTTTAGACCACTACTTCGGAAGTGATCAACATTTTTATGCCTGAGCAGGAGCGATGTAAAATGATAAAAATAGTTATACTCGCAGACCAAATTTTAATAGTTTCATAGTTACATGATTAAATAAAGTAATAAATAACTGATAAATCGATAGATGTAACAAAAAATAAATCATAATATTTGTTCAATATTGTACTCATTTTGCAAGTAATTTAATGTGTTATGATAAATAGATCGTGTTGTGTAGTTATATAGTGCAATTTCATGTATTTATTCATATAAGTTTCGTGTTAATTTCCTTTATAAACTTTATGAACTCATTGGCTTTTTCATTTGTTTGATCTTATTTCTTAATAATTGTCAACAGATATTGGAGTGATACGATGAGCGTTTGATGTGTGCATTAAAAAAAAAAAAAAATACTATTGTTAAACTTTCAACGATATATTTTCACTATACTTTGTACGGTATTATTTTTCTCTTATCTATATTGTTTTCAATGACATTATTCTCTTTTTCCCCTTAGAAAACTTGCTACTATTAATTCAACGTTTAGTGCCTTTTTTCCCAAAGGTTGTTCGTTACTCTTTAATGGTAGTTTAAAACGTACCATGCTAACAGCTCGAATAATTCTTTTTCGATTTTTTTTGTTTTGCTTGGGTATTACCCGTTGATCTTTGCAGTTAATACTGACTCTCAAAATATTTGCTATTCAATAGTCGCACGTACAACGTTTGCATACGGTCGTCTATTAATAAAATCCATTTGAATTCCGACAGCCGCTCACGGTTTATACTATTCCTTTTTTATTCGTTATTATTATTATTATTACCTATTACCCGTTTGGACGACGGCCAAATGATTCGTGTTTTCTTTTGTCTATTCCCGTGTTGCGCATTATTTAATTGGCAATTAATCCACTAGCTAAATTGTGTATGCGTGAGTCTATGTGATCGGAGAAGGTATTCGAACAGCCCCATGAGTGCAAAACGAATGATTAATTTGGAATTAGGCAGCAGACTTATAAATGCATCCCCATTTGTAATCATTAAATTTTCCATGCGAATATTTCACGAGCTTTTACAAAATTGGCCTAGAACGAAGAAAATGGCTATTAAAAGTTGGTCCAAAATAATTGTATTTATAAATTATACTTGTTGTAGTATCTTTCATGAACATTCATAGTTTGTGTTAAGCAACTGAAATTATTATATTTAGAAAATTATTTCTATCCTAAAATTAGGCTCTAAGTTTATTATTTTATAACTCCGTACCCGATTACTGTATTATTCAACCAAAGTGTTTTGAATTTGATTTAAAAATCAATATTACGCTATTAATGTAACTTATTAGATTTTAGATACATTATTTTACTAATAATGATTGAATTGTAATTGATTTTTTTTCAGTCGTTAATTCTGTAAATATGCAAAATCTCGTTACATTAGCTGCGATGGGCGCTAATTCAGTTTCACCTACAGGTAAAAATTCCATTTTATAAAACTATTATGTAATGTATCATTGCAATTGTCAATCTATTATTAAATACATCTTTCTCGTTCGTTTACAGATGTAGACATATTTTTCATTGGTAGGAGGATGGTAACATAATAAAAACCTTGAGTGCATGCTTCTTGAAAATTTGTTTTTGAAAATAAATATCAATACTTGAATAGCATTTGAAGTAGGTCATTTCTCATTTTTTTTTTTAAGACTTTTTCACATTTCTTAATTTTTTCGAAGAAACAAAACATAAATAAACTAAAATTGTTAAAATGAATCAGTATATATTGTAAATGTTCATATGAGTTATATTTCATAAGTCGATATTTTTTTAAACGGAAGTACTGAAACAATTAAATACATAGTTTAAACCATTAGTATTTATAACTACACAGCCATTAATGCTTATGTTAGCATTGTTCATGTATTAAACCGGTAGGTTCCATTTTAAACTTCGATTTTGGTATGAAACGGCTACACTGAGTATTAATTATTCAAATGAAATTAAATTATCATAACAACAATAATACTATTCATAATTTTAATTATTAATTGTCCATCGTCTCCTTGTAATAAAACATTATTGTCTTTTATTTTAATTATTCTTAGAGGAAAATTAAAAAATATTTATCTAGAATTTTTATGTTATAATAGCAATTGTTTTGTAATTTATATTAAATATGTAATAATTATTTCACAAAGTTATTCTGCAAAATAGAAAACATTTCTTGTGAATTAAATCATTTATTATCAAGCACTGCACAAAAAGATTACTTTGTTATGAATATGTATTTTTTTAATTTTTCAGAAAACAATAAAAAGATAAATGTTATTTGCATATATTCCTTTTATACTTGATAATCAAATATACTTGATAATTTTTAGGAACATGAGAGTTTTAACCCCGAACACAAATGATATACAGACTAATTTTATTGTTTTATTAAAAGTTTTGTTGTACTAGATCATAAATTGTTTTCCCTCAAGGTTTACGAACGAGAAAGTTACGTATTTGAATAGATAATGGCAATGTCACTATTTTTACAATTTTATAATTACTGTACAGTTTTCTTTGTAAATTAACCTTAATTATCAAAAATTAGTTTAATTGGCTATAATTTTAAAATATAAATTTATATTTTGTTTTTTAGGATCCAGTTCATCTAGTCTAAGTAGTTCAGGTTTGTTTATTCTTATAGGGTTTTATATTTTTGTCCTACAAGTGTTGAGTTATACCTTTAGGTGTAATATTCATAAACTTCTTGAGCATTTCTGTTTACTTATTTGTTGTTGTAGTTTTAATCATAATTTACGTTTGCTTACAAAAATCTTGCATGACTTTGTAAAATTAATAACATTAATGTAGCGTGTAGATTAAATTATTGTATTAACAACTATTTTAATTCCAATATTCAGACTTAAAAATTGTTTTAATTTTTTGTTTATTGATTTCTGTTTATTTATCATTCAATTCCAGAGAACTTATTGTCCACTTAAAAAAATATTTTTAATTTTGTATCGGTTTTTTTTTTAAACTGACTATGTCAAAAAATAAATATAAAATAAATGTGTAAAATGATTTATACTAAACAAAATATCTGTCATTTAATTAGTTCTTACTGAAGAAAAAACTGGATACAGTTAATAGTAAAAAAATTATATTTATCATCATTAAATTAAAATCAATACTAACAATTATGTTATAAGCAATTAAATTAAATTTACTTAATTTTACTTTTTGTTGAAATTATCATATTTAATTGTTGTAAAATTTAGTTGGGCCATAAATTTGAATTTTTAATTAAAAATTTGTTAGAAGTTATGTTTGTGTGTGCAGCTTGTTCAGGGAATGTGGACAGTTTTTTCTTCGAAAATTTGTTTAGCTAATGTTTTTTTTTTTGTAGCCTCTTTTAAAAGTGTATTAATTTCTTTGAATTGGTTTCAAAAAACACTTAACAATACTTCCTGCTCATCCGAGTGTAGCACATATTTGAAAATAATTAATTGTTTAACAGTTTATATATAAAAATATTGCATGTTAATTGTTATTGTTTTTTATATTGATACGAGGTTAATATTGATATGATCTGTGACGGCTGTTGAAAATTATCTTTTTGTAAAAGGCATAAACATTCTTGTTACTATTATGCTTTATGTCATTGAATTTTTTCCATTTTATTATTATCTCTTAAGTGGTTCGATATAGAAAATCCTGAGCTCGAATTTATTATGAAATGTAATATGCTTACATTTTCTTCTTTTTATACAATCAATTCTATTACGTTATCCAATACTGTAAGTTTATTAGTCAATAAGTTTTGTTTTCAAGTAATCATATGCAAAAAATATTTCGGTGTCATTTAAATAACCAAAAAGTAATAATTCAATAGCAATTTTAATTTGACTTAACATTTCATTTCCATACAATACTTTCCAACAAACCATGTAACATTTGATTGGCCATTAATGCGAACGCTTCTATTCTATTTTGATCGTGAAATCCAATTGTTAAAAATTTTATTTGTAGCATTCAGGAACACTATAAACGACGTTTTGTGTTATAAAAGGAAAAGTTTTAATTCGAGCTTCGGATTACCGTTTCATTGACATGTTTTCAATAAAAAACATTTGTACGTCAAGTTTAATATATTTTGTTTGTTTTGTTTCAGCTTTGTCAAGTTTGTCGCCTACGTCTGCCGCGGCAGCAGGTTTGTAATTTTTTATCATCTTTACCATATCATATACCCCTATGNATCATCTTTATCATATCATATACCCCCATGTTATCTTTTACTAATACCCTTGAGTATTTATTTTAAATTATTATACCCACAGAGTTGTTTCATCAAATTATAATTTTAATTCATTTGTCGTGTTATTGTCATTATTTGTGACTCCTTAATTTTTCTTTTCTAGTTTTAATGGGGAAAAATTCCGGTAAGTGGTTTTGATATGAAAATGTGTGCCTTCGATGAACTATGTCTTTAAATTATTTTGCTTTTTTTCTTCTTTTTGTTTGAAATTAATTTGTTTTCTTTATACACTATAAACCACTTAATGTATTATTTAATTGTGTTTTAACACTTATACTCTTATATTGTGATACAATTTTTAATATATAAATAAATAACATTGCATAAGATAACGATTTTTTTCAAAATGTATTTCAATCTATCAATTACCCCGTAGGACTGTTAGCTGGTACTAATGGTGCGAACAGTACGTACGGATCGTCGCTGAATGCACTTGGCCTAACTTTGGCAGATCTCAACTCGAATCAATTTGCAATGCCACAGTCGCCGCCAACCAGTTCACCACTTTATTTCATAAATAACAACAATAATAATAGTCGTGAGTATATGAGTAAAAAATCCATGAATATAAATTTAAGAGTTAAAAATAAATAAAAAGTACTTAGTAGATAATATATTATTGAATATACGAGGTTCATTAATAAATTGTATTTTATGAATCTTTTAGATTTGAAATTTATTGTACCTTTCAGTTCAAAGTTATTCTATCCTCTGTAACTCTTTTCTCGAATCAAATAATATTAAGCCGTGGTCTAGTCTTGGAAGAGCTATAAGTGTTATAAATAAAATCTCCCCATCGGAAACGTTATTATTTAATGAAAATATATTGAACTAAAATAAACTTAATTACTTTTTTATCAACAAATGATATAACTTATTTAATATTTTTTTAAAAATAAAAATATGACACTCCAGTACTTGATTATGTTACTGTATCTCGATGTTAAAAAAAATCACCTACTTGCTTGTCTTTTTGTCAAATTATGTCTATGAGTATATAAAATATATTCAAAATATGTATATGTATTGAATTAAAAAAAAATATTTACTTTTACTAGAGAATATCAAAGCACGATTTATGTATATTTTCTCAGTATATACTTTGTATTGTTTTAAAAACAAATAATTTTTAAGACTCCCTAGAGAAATAATATAGGCATAAAAATAAAATGTATAGTTTGCTAATGGACTAGCTGCCATAACTCTAGATCAATATAAACTAATTGATAATATACAGTGTAAATCGGAAAATGAAGAAAGCCAACTTTGTAATGTAAAGATTTTAATGTCAATCCTTCGTGTTAAAAACATAAAAAACCGTTGAAACATAACTCAATAATTCGTTTGATTCGATAAAATTTTCTTTACGATTGAAATTTTTTATTTAATATGTCTTTTATAATTTGCATTTATAATTGATTTTTGTGTGACCAACAAATTGTGTTTTAAATTCAACTAAAAATTATTTTTTCTTTTTATTGATTTAAAGCTTCCGTTACATTGACCACTAATAAAATCACTTAATATACAGTTTAATATAATTTTTTAAAATGCATTTTTTTAGCCTGATTGTGCGATTAAGAACTTAAGTAGTGTCTGAAATAGGTTCTAAGATTTCTAATAAATGTCCTAAAAAATTTTATAAGAAAAAAAAATGTAAAGGGTAATTTCTAAAATTTACAGTGCGTATTCATTATTTGAAATAAATAATTTATTAATTTAACATCATTTTTGTTGATATGGCAAATTTTTAGATTCAACAACATTTGGTTCGGCGTATCAAGTAAAATTGCAAGATATAATTTTGAATGAAAATTCTCAATTTAAATTGATAAGTTGGAAAAAATGTTATTCTTATATTTTATCCGCGGTTCTTTAAAGTTATATCTTCGCTATACTATTTACTTTATACTGTTAGTTAAATTATTTAATTATTACAAAATCGCCAAGAAAAAATATTGATCAGTTCTAATTAATTTTGTGTTGTGTTTCTAGAGTAATAGACTAAATTACAAATCGTTTAATTTTAATTATTTGAACAATCAATTTATATTTAATTGTGATTAATAGATAAAAACTGGTATATTTATTTTAACTTACTCTGAAATATGTGTATGTTATTTACTTAGCCACTCGTTAGATTTTGCCTATTGTGCTTTTTGAAGCTTTTCGTTAAACAAAAATTGCACTTATATTAGTGTTAAAAAATAAAATATTATGGAGGATGACTATTAAAATTAGGTAATCAATATCATAGGAGGAATTTCATGATTTACATTATTTTTCTTTGTTCTATGAGTATTTACGAAAAAATAAAAATTAATTTACTTTTTATACCTTTAATCTCTTTTGTTATCAACTTTGAAACATTTTATGAATAGCATAAAATAAATTACATCAACAAGCTATAAAAGTTTTTTTATAAATTAAGATTTCAAATTCTTGTGATGTGTAGTAGTTTTTTGAATATTAAAAACAGATTTAATAATTACATTTAAGTATTTTCATCGTTCAAATCGTGTATTTTTTAAAAGGTACAATAAATATCAAATGTATTTGAATGAAAAATTGTAACATTTTAATTTTAATTTTACAAAATCATAATTCTTCATCTTATGGTAATTTTAAATTTTATTATATTAAATGAAGATATGTCAATTATTGTATATTTTGAAGTTATTATGAGATTTTTTTGAGATACTTATCAGTATAATATTATAAGTTTCATAAATAAATCTTTATTTTTAACGTTGTCATTTATTACTGATTGTAAAACAATGTTATTTAGCTCGAGGCTCTAACCACATAAAAGTCATAAAAATTAAGTACTTAAGCTCCTGTTACTATCTTTATTTTGATGATATAATAATATCTGACGAGTTCCATAAAACTTAAACTTCGCGAATGTTAGGAACATAAGAATATAGGAAAACTATAAGGTTTTATTAGTATTATTTATTTATATATGTATATATTACTGCATGTATTAGAAAATTATTATTATTTAAAAAAAAACATGCATCCTTTCATTCAAAAAATGGTTGCCTGCTTAAATTTTTGCTTTGCTTTTATCTACTTGTGATCGTCTCTAAAGCTTTTATGATAATTTTTCTTTGTATGACAATATAATATTATGGATTAAAATTTAACCTTTATTTTTTTGTATGATATATAAAAAGGGGTTTTTTTAGTTTTTTAGAAAATCACAAGCAGCTTATAAAAATATTATTGTGTTCATTTTTGTACTATGTCGTTGCATAATTATTTTGTTTAGCTACTAAAGTTTCCGGCAAGCAGATTGAGGGTCCAGACGGTGCAAATCTGTTTATATATCATCTCCCTCAGGATTTTGCTGATTCCGATCTTGTGACAATGTTTTTGCCATTTGGCAATGTAATATCAGCAAAGGTTTACATAGATAAAGAAACAAAACTGTCCAAATGTTTCGGTAAGTCGTCTCACGCACACGCATACCCAAATAAACCCATAACGATGAGACTATTTATTTATTTTATATTATAGTGTCCATGTTCCCTTAACATTAAATAGAGTTGCAATTTTTTATACTTGTTTTCATCGTTTAAGTTACTATTTTAACATTAAAAAAATGTATAACGATTTATTATTGGTAGAAATGTTAAAAAAACTAATTTTATTTTTATTCTTAAAATAAGTTAGTTACCAATCTAAATTTTAAAATAAGATTAAAAAAAACTTAAATTCAGTTTAATTTTGTAACTTAGTAGGTATAATATTAATGTTTTTGTATATCACTATTTAACTACAAAAGCCAATCTTATTATCAACATAAAATTTTACGTTAAAATTAATTGTGTTAATTTTAATATTTTATGGGCAAAGGTATTGTTGTAATAACAACGAATATCAACTCAAGAAACAATATAGTACAAAAGTACTATATTAATAATACACAATAATACAAGACAATTTGACTAATTATTAAAATATTGTCTAATTTTTTTTGCATTTGTGTTGTTTTTCAGTTTTTAAGTATGTCTTGCTTTGCAGTAGTTAGATAGCGTTGCAATGCAGGTAGACCTTGCTTTCACTAATAAAATGCATGTATTTGACCACATTGAGAGTTGAGTACAAATTTTGCAGTAAAAATTAAAAAATTGAAATAAACCCCCTTAAAAATTAAAGGAATTTATTACCTAACAAAGATCGCTGATAATCATAAATAATTATATTAATAAGACACGTATAATCTCAAATAACATCTAGTTGATTACATACATTATATAGTACTTATGTACATGATAATTATTTTCTCCAGGATTAATTTAACACGTGTTTTTGATTAAAATTTAACTGTAATAGTAACATATTCATTTTTTACTAGAAAAAAAAAACTTAATAATTAAATAGAAAAATTATTGTTCACATAATATCGATTACGTGGGATCCTGCGAAGATGGAGAATAGACACACAAATTCTGCACTGTCTAAAAAGAGAATTCAATCTTGTTAATAACTATAAGAACTTTTTTTTTTAACTAAGAGACATATTTCCTGTAATTATAATTTTGGTAAATATAAATTGCTCATGGGTTCAAAGTCGTTTGCATACAATCAACATAGTTTTTTTCAATGAATAAATTGTTTGATACACTCTTGTTTCTGTTTGACTTTATTTTTTACTGTTTAAATATTGAAGTGTCACTGCATAATTTATTCTTTTATTTTTTAAATTTTTATTTTGCTATTATTAGCAATTGTATTTTATGGTATATCGAAGTTCGACTTCAATATAAAGAGGTGTAGATTATTTATAATACGGGTTTATGTATGAACCCCCTAATATTTTTGATATAATTTAATAACGTGTATGAGACATTGTTATAACCAAGGAGTTAAATCTCAAACTCATATTATTCGCGCCTCCTTAATACAATTTGAACAATATTTTATGAATATTTGAAATTAAATTTCTCTTTTTCCTAAAATAAAATTCTATATAACAGCAGATTTTGTGGTTAATCCTCCTCAAATCCTCCTATATGTATAAATTCTATGATATCTACAAATATTGCATTTGAATTAATAATATTTTTTTTTTCAATACTATTTATTATTGAAGTAATAGCCAATATCAATTGTAGGAGATTACAATATTTAAAAAAATTCAATCATAAACATTTTTTTAATTCATTAAATAATTGTCATATGTTTGCAAGGTGTACCCTGCTTAAAAATGCAACAAAAGCATGTTTTATCAGTTAAATTTTTTCATTATAGTTATAATAATAATAATAGTATTATAATAATATAATAATTGATATTAAATTATTAATTGAATATATCAATAATTAATAACTTTGCAAAGCAATCAAGTGTACAAAGTAGTTATTCAGTGTAAAAACAAATAGAATTATACTATTTAACTTGTATTTTGTTCATACTAAAATTTTTTTTGGAAATGTTTGGATTTTAAATATTAGCAAAAGAAAATGCACTGTCTAAGCTTTAGACAATGCCTTAATTAAATAGCATTGATATGAAACTTGTTCTATAATATTATTTTAATAAAATCAATGTTTATTCTACTTTATTATACTTAACATTACACAATGAGTAAGATATTATTTTTAACATTGTATTTGTTAATGTATTCATTGGGTAATTTTCCTTCATTATTACATTAAACTCTTCTACTCATATATGTTATAAAAAAATTTAAATTTTTGTCTTATTTTATAACGTAAAATTATACACATAATTTATGATATTTATTATTTATTTGCAGGGTTCGTGTCATATGATAATGCATACAGTGCTCAAGCTGCTATACAAACTATGAACTCTTACCAAGTAGGAAATAAGCGATTAAAAGTACAGCTTAAGAGGCCTAAAGAAGCGTCGAGGCCATATTAAATTGAATAGTTGATCACACACATTCAAAAATTTTACACACAAAATAAAAATTAAAAAATAAAATAAAAATTGTATATCATCGTATATTTTTAGTTATTTAACGCGTGTGTGCGTGTGATTCTGTCCAAATAAAATATATTTTAAATAATAATTACAACGACGAGATTTATATGTGTGTACTGATATATAATTGTTTGTACATTATTTTTATTGTTTATTTGTTATAAGATCCACATAACACAGGGTTATTGTGGAATAGGAAATATTTATTATGTATTTATAGGAATCAATCATTTAATATTATGTATGAAACTATAGCTAATGACTTTCAAACGATCTTTATATAAAATTTTTAAAAAAAAAATTCTACACTTTTTATTAGTAATTTTACTTCACGTGTTTTTAATATATTTACTTTATTTTTTCGTTAAACTATCAAAGGACCAATTTTATTTAGTCTATTGTCGATGTTTATTGTTTATGCTGTTCATTGATACTTATAGTAATAGTGTGAGAGTTCAATTAAGACAATTACTTAAAATATTGTTGTAATTAAGATATTATACAATTTTTTATTGTTATTTAAGTAGTATGATTTTTTTTCTTGTTTTATTTTAAAAAATGTACCCGTGCATGTTCGGCAATCAGGGTATTAAATTTATCATCAAAAATATTTCTCGTTTGAAATCATAGTACTGTACTGATTATAATACCTTAAAAGGTTCCTGTAGTTAAATAGTGCTTATATTTGTTTGATAGTCAATCTTATATTATGTTTTAATTTATAATATGATTTACAATGTTTTTTTGTTTTGTTGAATTTAAATAATGTTATTTTATGTTCAGTATTAATTTTAATTTAATTTTTTGTGCATGCATTAATCGTTTTATAAACATTTTCCAGTAAATGCTATTTTTGACAATATGTTACTATACTATTTAACAATAAAGACTTTAATTTTCGTTTTAGATAATATTATCAGTATGTTTTTGTGCTTAGTAAAATAACGTGTCCATAAATGTGAGAATTATGTTTTCTTTTGTCTTTTGTCTCTTGTTGGCATTTATATTGTATAAACTACAACTAATATTGTTTATATCAATCATCACTATTGTTAACGGGCATTATTGTGATACTAATAGCCTATTTTGTTTTAAATTAATTTTATTTAACTTATTTAAAAGCGCCAAAACCAAATATTGTACAGTGCCATAATATGATGAACTTTTTAGAAAACTACATATTTTTTCAAAATAGTGTTTTGGTGCTATAATGATTTTTAACAAGGTTTTAGTTAGATTATTTATGTAGAATTTATATTAAGTAATAAGTGCCAGTAACCAGATGTTTTTTTATCTCCTCCCGTTTTTGAAGTCTCTTTTAAATTATATTATTAGGCGAAATACCTTATAATATTATGTTTTTAATGTTCACTTATTGTTTGTGAAAAAAAAGTTTTTCGTGTTTATTTTTTTCTTTGTATGAAGTTTTATGAATACTTAATTGAAAATACATTTGCATGTAATAATGCTGTATATTATTTATTTATTGTGTTTAATTGTTAATTACATCATTATAAAGTTTATTGAAAATATTCATTACAATAATATCAGTTGATCAAATTTGTGTGTAAATAGATTTTTATCTATTTATATTGAGATTTTATCTCAATTGTTAAATCAAATTTGAAACCTGAATGTTTGTGCTTATTTTAAACTTAATTGAGTCAACAAAAAGTATGCTATCGCAATTATAAAAGTTCTAAGGAAATCCAGATTACCTTTTATATGATATTTGAAGGACTTGTTGCCACAATAAGAAAATCTTATTTTTAAAATTGAAGAAAAATCAAAAAAATATTTAACTAATTTTTGTATTTAATTAATTTATTTTATTGTTGAGGAGTTATAAAAATAAGTATTTGTTGTATTCAAAGTAGTTTAAGTATAAATTCCAAACATTGTATTGACATTGTGAATAGCCCTTTATTTGTTTCAACACAACATGCAGTTAGGGTTTATTTACATATAATATATACTAGGAAAAGAACTTAATTCGTTAAAATTTTTTTATTTTGTTCATTAAACAAATTCTAAATTAATTCTAAACAATTTTTTTTTGTTAAGTCATAGAAAAATTAAGATGAAGAATTGAGTTTTTTTTCTTAAAATACACGAGATAAAATGACATAAATTGTATTTAATTTAAAAATGGCAGAGATACAACATCATAATATGTGATGTCCTGAGAAATATTTTTATAATAAAAAAAAATATTAAAACGTGATGAAAAAATTAATTTAAATTTTATACAAACATGCAGCTCGATCTACCGGTGAACAGAAGTGTATCGCTACTTTAGTTTTTACTGGTAGATCTTATTGCTCAAATAAAACACGTGTAATGTAAGTTCATTAGAACTCGTGCACGCTTAGTCTTATAATTTAATTTTCGAAATTAATTCAAAACTCGAAAAAAAAATCCTAAATCTAATCTTGCCCTTAAAAATGTTGAGATTGATTTATAAAAACGTGTTTTTACACACAACGATTGACATGCAATTTTTATTGAGTTTGAACAAAACATTTTTTTTCCTAAAATTGACATTATACGCGAGTTTGTACAACTCAAATTCATCTGACAGGTAATGTGTCCCAACCGCCTTTTTTAGCGATCGTACTATTATGACGTAGTTTATAAGTCAAGTGTTGAAATACTCAGTGTGACTGAAAGAGCCGCCACACAACTGACTTCATATAATTTTTTCCGATTTTCGTACCAGGAGGAATTGCAACTCGAGTTTTCATAACTAATATTTTAGACCAGTTTTAGATTTTGTATCGAATATCATAATTTTTTTACCAGGAATTCATAAGGTCTACTGTATCGTTAAAACATGTGTACAGACGGTGGTGTCCAATCTGCAAAAGCGTCCAAGCGACACAGCAGCAACGCGCTGTTGTTTAACTTATCAATAATTAATTTTTATGCTTGTTCATCATAAGTTGATATTCTTATATTAAAAAAAGTAATGTTTTTGAACTTTAAATAAATAATTTTAATGAACTCGTGTGTTTATTTTAAATCGCACGTATACCTTTTTTGCAAAAAAAATATATTATGATCATTTTACTGCGTAGGTTTTAACTAGAGCATCGATAAATAGATCTAACATTTTTATTATTATAATAGTTAAAGAAAGATATTACGAATAAAAAGTATTTAAAATTATAAATTTCATTCAAATTAGGGGAATACTAGGGACAGTTTTAAATAAAAACGAAATAGAAAAATTTGGTTTTTCTCTTAATTGTATATGACATTTTTATATAATTTGGTCTTAATTAGTTACACTGCTCAATTATTTAAACAAAAAACCTACTAATACTTTATTATTAAAAAAAATAAAACTAAAGTTATTTATTAAGTATTAAAGTTAAATATAACGTTTAACTAACTTATCTTTCAAATTTTTAACGCATAAGTGCTCAGCATTGGAAAAAAATAAAACAAAATATTTGATAAAATAGCGAATGAATGTACAATAAGATTGTGTTGTATAATAAAATTTAAAACTTAAACAAAGGTTAATTTTTTTTTTATACTAATGTATGACGGGTCAATTGGTATTGTGTAACTATAACTTTAACCAGTATTCTAAAAATTCTGGTTAAAAAGTTGTTATCGACCAGTAATTATCTTAATTAAATAATTTTCTATGGTGTATACTGATAATATATAAGTTACCATATAAAAATCTCGGTAGAATCTTAGATATCTGTTGAAGGTGGTATATGAGAAGGGAGTATAACTTAATTGTTTTCTTCAATTAGTAGTATGTAGAGTGTTTTAAGCTTTTAAAAAGGAAAAATAACAAATTATTATTATGTATTTTTGAAGATATTGCGTAAAGCATAGTTAATAAATCGTTCCATAGATTAATTTAATTTTCACAAAAACTTGAACTTTTAAAAATAATGTAATAATTTATTTTACTATCCAAAGAGTAAGCTGAAAATTATACCTCGAATATTTACTAAATTATTTCTAACCACAAAGTTAATCGAGTTCAAATAAATGAAATATTACTAATATTCGCAATGACCTTAGAGTAATAATTGTAACATAATACTTAAATTTGTACCAATATGTTAATCCACTGGCGAAATATTGTCTAACAACGTTATTAATAAATTGAAACTTAAAACTACTTTAGAATTCACGAGTTTTATTGGTATTGCATCGTGTTGGTTTTTTAATTACATTTTTGTGGTTGTAAGACGAACTCACACAGTGTTATAACAAAGTATCAGTATTAACATAATCAATTGCGTTTAATAGGAAGTTCACATAAAATGCAATTTTTTTCAAGTGACAAAAAATTAATTAAATACATTGACATTGCACACATACTTGTAAAATATAATATTTAACGTTATGTTACATCCTGTTTTTTGCATTCACGTATTTTGTTATGCTAATGTATAAATGTAGATAATGTTAAAATGTATAAATAATTTTATAATATCGAATTTTACTCGGTTCGCTCGACAGTAACGATATGTTTCTTGTCAAAGACCACATATCTGTTATCGGAGCCGATAGATAACCCAAAGAAATGATGAAATATGATCTAAGAAATACTTTGTAACCACAGAGTTTGTGACTATACCGGTTTCGACCGTTAAATATAATGTTTGAAGGTTCAAGAAGCTGATTTTGCAAAATAAGTTAGTCAAGTTTACACAAATGTATGTTTGGAGTTTTTAGGTGACCATGTTAAATGTATAAAAAGTGGCTGAAAATAAGTGGTTTAAATGATAATTGACGAAGGGAATATAATATAAATCTAATTATTAAATCCGTTTCATATATTTCTTTATGTTTAACGTGTTCTCTAAAAGCTATGGCTTGTATCAGAGTAGACTAAAAAACTTACATAGCCTAGTTCAGTTAGCGTCGTTATTTTGAAAGTTTATTTATATTGAGTCAGAGAACTGTTTGGTTTACAAAATTTTGAATAGTTTTGGTGTATTCAATAAAGTAGGGGTGCCAAACGAGCGAGTAATTTATTTTCATTTCACTGACCTACTCAAAAATTATATTTTAAGAAAATAATCGAAGTAAAATTTAATCATCGATAATATTATAACATTCATAATTTTATTTTATTTAAAAAAAAAATGTTAAACGATTTCATTATTGACATTTTTTAAATTTCTATTAGTTTAATATCTCATAATGGGTATCAATCAATAACTAAGTAATTTTAATTGCATTTATATTTCAAAGTGTACCTAGAAATCGGACTGTTTCAAAGAAGATGTTCACCTTAAAAACGGTTGCTCGGCTCGGTAATATTTCAATACATTCGCCACATTTCAAACAAAATGTTGACCACTAAACGTGTTAGTTGTCAGTAAGAATCTTGAATTATTATTCTGTAATGGACAACACGTACACTATCGTCTGGCTCTTCGACAGTTGCTTATTAGTATAAGTTTTTAGGGCCAGTTATCGAACTGGTTCTTTTTGGCGAAATTCATGATCACTCGGATTTTTTTAAACTCAACCACCAGGAGGTCCACGTACGAGTTCCCGTAACGAACATTAAATAAAGAAAAAAGGGGCAAATAATAACAATTATCTGGATGAATACTGTTCGAGTAACAATGGCTAGTTAGGCTTACGGGTCGAAGAAGGCGTACTGAAAAAATAATAAAATGAAAAAAAGCCTCATAAATCCAAAACATGTGACCACTGTTCGGAGCTTATTAGTGAGACTCTGAAGTCTGTACCATATATGCCCGTGAACACGTATGAATAAAATAACGGCCGCGCAATTAAATAGATTTGCATTTTTACCCCTCCGCAGTAGTTTAGTGCGTATACATTTTTTTGCTCGTCTACAGTCTCTTTTGTCAAGCGGTATTCTATTGTATCCATCTTCTTCATTAAGCGACGGATATCCTCGAATGAACGTACACATACCGGCTATATGGAAATATATACGACTAATGCAAAAACAGGCGACAAAATCCAGTTCTTTTTAACGAGATGCCTCTACATTGTTGTACGTCACTGTAACACATGGTCGACGTGGTGGCTCAATATCGAGGCGTCGTAACTCGCCAACCTCCGAACAACTGAGAGAGATGATTTTTGATCTGGCCAACGTTATCAATATTTAAACTGTTTGTCTGATTAGGTCGCGTACTTAATTATATTATCAGTCCCTTTTCAAATCTAACCACAAGTCTCCGTAGAAACGGTTGAATCAGATTTTTGAGGCTTCGAGTACGAAAATTAGACTTTTAATTTAGTTAACTATGCACACTTTAAAGATAAATATTCATTTTTTAGATATACTTTCAAGTGATTTTGTATTGTTTTTACTATGTTTAGAAGAGTTAATGTTGAACTACTCGTAAAATGATACGTGAATGAACAGGATATAACAATATATTTGAAAAAACAAACCATAGTTTGTAACTTCCACTAAAAGTGAGCAAAGAATTATATCAAAAAAGACATCATTCCTGCTC